GATTTGGTTTCTGGCGGGGCACACAATAGGTTGGCGACCGAAAACGAGTACAATTTCAGTCCCGAATTGTTGGACCTTTGCAATAATTGTCTAAAAAGCCAAAAAGGAATGAATGTAGTATCCAGACCCACTTCTTTGGTTGACAAAGTCGGAGAGTCGAGTGCATTTTCAAAGTATATTATTGGACAAAATTGGAAATGATTCTCAGTACCAATTCATGTCTTTTCAAAAAAAAAATGCAATGAGTGACCGTCACTGAGACAATATTATATGATGAAAGTGAAAAGTGGCCTTAGGATGCAACTTCTTTTTGAAAAGACTCCCTTCTCTACTGTTTTTCTCCGTATTCGATGGTCATATAAAGAATGTTGCATCCTGACACCATGTTTTTTTTTTCATTGTTATTATCCCAATGAAGGTCAGTCACTGCAAAAATGTTAAAAAGACATGAATTTGCAACTGAGAAACATTTCCAATTTTGTTAAGAAATATTTAGACAATTTTAGAAGAATCTCGTCCGTAAACTTGAAGTGGCGTCTGGACACTACATTCTTTCCGAGAAACTGTTGAAATGTTCGAAAATTCTTCAAAAATGTTTCCATACATAAAAAGATACAAAACCAAAAAGTGGCTTTTCCAGAATTTTATTCATTCCCTGCGTACATATGTTTATTATTTTAAGTCCCACACCAACTTCAGAACACCAAGAACCACAACTTCATAATCACAATACTCATCCCGTCACTCATAGGCATATCCGGTTAACCTCAAACATAAAACATGTTGACAGAAGAGCTTGCGATCAAGTTGACTTGAGAAAAAACAGCATCGCAGTGGTGCAATGGCGACCGAGACAATTTTGACAAACCATGGACCTTGCTCCGAATTAGTCCGAATACATGAATCTCAAACGATAAAAAGTTAAAACCCATAAATGTTTTAGTCCAAACAAACGCACTGCATATGGTCTAAACTTACTCACAACTTACGGTCTTATAACATGGAGGAAAAGGACTGCCTCTGTGATCAAGTTATGGTCTCCTCAAGGCCGATGATGATCAGTAAACGGACAAATCTTGCACCTGTACGAGCGGCCCTCACGCCACCAATTACACTCAACCTTCCAAATGCACGCAGTCGATAGTCGGTACCGCCTAAAAGATTTTAGGTCAATCTCAAAGCACACCGAGCTTGCTCAACATTTACGACCATTCTGAAGTGCTCTGCAAACAAGACTTATTTTGGTTCGTGCCTACCAAGTACCAAAGGTGTTGAAATCTGACAATGGTGCGTTGGATGTGACCCTACGACCCCCATTATATTATGCACGGTTAAAATAGGCCGACGTTACTTGCCACCCAGCTGCAAACTACGCATTAGTTCACCGTGGCGATGGAAGCTCGATACCACACTTCATTGAACAGCAATGAATAATGCATTCGTGGTCTATTCTTATTGAATTGAATCGAACACAAACACCTGTTGATCAAAGGGAACAATAACGAAAACAAAAAAGCACGTTTTGTTGACATGATGGCCATTTGTGTCGGCAACAGGGGGCGATATTTCACTTCCGAAATTCTAGCAAACATAATTTTGGCGGTCGTGCAGAACAATATGACATGACACGAAATTTGAATATTATACGTACAGTGTACCTCGATAATGAACCCGGTGATTATCGGTACCAGTGTTTGAGGTAGAGCTCACCTGATGCAGGCTGCATGACATCATTATAACACATCCGAGACCTACAATGCAATAAAAGTGTATTTGTGTGATACGTTGTTCCCCGATTCGGGATGATTTGATCTAGATTTATGATCAAGCAGCTGTTGGTGGGGCCTACATCGAATTAACAAAAAGGCGCTGGAGAAAAGATGTTTTCAACCACCACACCCAGTTTTAAGAGAGTGATTGTAATACGGTATGGGGGGGGGGGGGGGCTGTCGTAATAGCAGCTCATATACATGATATTGCGCAAGAGAGACTTCGGTCTAGTTTAGTGGAGTCCCCTATAACGTGGCGCACTTTAGTCGACTTTTCCCTTGACTTTAACTTATGCAGTGTTGACAAACATCTTTAGTTGACAAACTTGAAATTCATTCTGTTTAAATACTGGTACATTAACCTTAATAACGCTTGCTTTTGAACCTTTGTGTACAATTTCAGTGCCATGAATTTGAGTTCGAAATTCAAAAACGGTGGCATCTGGAAATTGGGCACAAAATCGACCGAGTGTTCAAACGTGGCGCACTTGAACAAATCTTGGAAAATCCCACGTTAACATTCAATCATTTCATAAAATTGACAAAATAATTCCGATAAACCTGTATTATATATTTCCACTGACAAACCCAACTACAAGTTTTTCAGAATATTATTTGGTTATTTTGGGGAGGTTTTTTTTTTTTTATAAAATGTTCATTGTGCACTTCGAAATGAAATCGGAAAATCAAGCCAAAATCAGAATTTCTCTTTTAATTTTGTAAAGAATAGGTAACTTAAGATTTATGTACGGGAATGCTTAGAGCCGGATACAATTTCACTTTCTGTGAAATTTGAGGTAACACGTCCTTTTGCTCTTGCATGCAAGACACTTGAGACGAAAAATCAAGAGCGCCACGCGTTAGGGGCCGCGCCATGTTAGTGACATCAACAACTACACTCTAAAAACTGGAGTGTTGAATTCAACACTTACATGTGTTCGGTCAGTGCAACACTTTGAAAGTGTTAAATCCAACATTTTAAATGTTTAAGCCAACACTAGCAATGTTAATTCAACATTTTAAATGTTGTAAAGTGTTCATTCAACATTTTTCAACTTTAACACTTTGAAAGTGTTGAATCAACATAATCAACATTTAAAATGTTGAATTAACATTTTAAGTGTTGGATTTAATATTTAAAATGCTGGATTTTAACACTTTCAAAGTGTTGCACTGACCGAACACATGTAAGTGTTGAATTCAACTCTTCATTTTTTAGAGTGTTGAAATGTTACGTTGCTCAGGCATCAGTGAAAGCCATCATGTCCATACCTTGAGTGCATACGTGGTGTATAACATAAACGAAAGTTCTGAAATAATTATACTCCTTACCTTTAGTCGAGGTTGAGTGCGAGGGAATGAAGGCTCGTTTGCAGTAATCACAAGAAATGAGCTCTCGACTGATGCAGTGTGCCAACTTGAACGTGAACTTGTAATTAGTAAGGTCAATGTTTGTCATAGAGGGCAAGGTTATTCAGTGTACACGCATTTGCGGAAATGAACCATTAATAATATAGGTACTCAAATCCTATTTTGTCAATGGATTGAGCCGATATTGCGGTTTATAATATAATGATGTCATCTGAGGGGGGAAAAAGTCTCGGTATACGGTCAAAGTTTTGTTGCACGTCACTGCAAGTTGGACTATACATTTCAACAGAGGGCGCTGTCACGCACTGCTTGCCCAATTTTTAGAATGTTTGCAGACCTCGGCTCCATTTGCGGTGGGGCTCCAAGATATTTGTTTTAAACTGACCCATATAGTACAACAGGACCGTTCTTGTCACAAACATCATGTCATTATTATATCAGGTGCAAAGTTTAGGGTATACTTACCATTGGTGTTGGCTAAATTTGAAAAGCTCGAAAAGGATTCTGGGTCCTGCGATAGAGACACAACCGCGGTTTGGAAAAGCCACCGTGCACCGTTAAAAGTTAACGCGCTAAAGGATATTATCACTGCCGCATTTAACGATGACATCATACTTGCCGTTTCAGGCGTTGCCGAACGCATAACGAAACTGCTATGAATTCGCGATTTGTTTTTCTCTCTTGGGTCGGGTCTTTGTTGGGTCAGTGAGGCGCAAAACCGGTGGCATTGTTCGCTGGTGGAAAGTGGCCCATTTTCCTTTTGAATAAGGTAACCAGATCACTTTCAGAACAAAATACCGAACGGCTGTTCCATGACCCTGGTGATGGTGATGTTCTCGTCTATTCCTTGTGATTTTGTTGTCTCGTCAATCCACCTCAAGAAATAAGTTTTATTAGCATTTTACTTAATTTGCGTTTTTAACCATACTTTCATTTTTAAACTTTCAAATTATTTGTAAAGAACCAGGTTCTTCGGGAACGTTAACAGGTAAAAGGGAATGTACAATTTGCTCTTGCTGCAATTTTCATTAGTAAATGGATTTGGGGTATTAGAATGTTATAGCAAATATTGTTAAACATGATGACTTGTTTCACGATTTGTGCTCGAAGATTTTTTCACCACCCTGTATTGACAATTATTTGCCAAATATTGCAAATGTGTGAATTAAAAGAAAAGAAAAAAGGAGGGGGACTCAAAAGAAGGAAGCAGGTGGGGACGAGAAACTGGTTTATTTTTTTTACTTGGCCTAAATGGCCAGCAAAATAGTGCAAGTAAAGACTGGACCTTTTCTGTGGCACCGAACGAACGTGTTCGCGGACGGGCAAAAAGGAAACATGAAATTCAAAAACCTGGTTTTCTTGTTAATTACAGTAAAAGCTACAAGAAAATGTGTGTCACAGTTTTAATTTAATCAGTGCCCACATCACGTCAAATTGGCCGTTCTTATTCAGAGTCACACACTTAGTAATCAAAATATCGCATGAATCCATGGCAACGAGTTGTTCCATAATTACTAAGTCACGCACTACTGTTTTCCTGTCCACTCATTCAATCATGGGCGAGACATGTGTTGTCGATTATGTCAGTGAAACAACAAAACGCGCCCCATGATGATGTATCAGAGTTCAAGTTTTTATAAATCAAAAATTAACTTCAGTAGTTAAGTTCTAAATATATCCCAGCGCTCATCAAACTGCTGTTCACGTCATGTATTGCGACCCCCCGACGAAAACCCGCGCCTGCGCTCAAAATAGGTATGTGAGTCACAACACGAAACAGCCGTAATTAGATGACGTGTTCCGTGCGTATATGGCGTCAGTGCACACAGCGCGCAGTTTCGCTGGTTGCAAGGTTTTTCCACCCCATTCATAATTTTGTTTGCATGGCTCACATGACCAGCATGTGAGAACCGATCTACCGTATGGACTTTACACCGTGTGTTTGTAGTGAAGTAGTGGGGAACTATTTGCGGCACAGAGTGGAACCACACAACGCATGAGTCACTCGGCGCGACGGGCCTTTACTTCCGAATCATCAAGTCATATTTATAAGGCCGGCCGGCCCGTGATCGTGAATTCATTTCTTCGCCGTCGAGACATCAACTTAAGTCGATTTACTGCTCGATCAATATTTGCTGCTTTTTTAAAAACTTCTTGGAGGGTTAAAGTAATCATTCCAACAGCAGATGCCGACACAGGCTGCTCCCGCGATCAGATTAACCATGTCTGATCACAGCAGCACCACTACAACTCTACCGGTGCCCCAACGGCCACCGACGGTAACCCTGTCTACGGACCACGAGTCTTGCTCCCCGACCCACCCTAAGACCAAGAGGAATCTCCTGTCTACTTTGAAGAACTCCCCGTCCATGTTGAGGCGGCGGATGAAGCCCCCTCATCTCAACAGCACTCGGAATTCTTGGGACAATCCGGATTCTACTTCGTCATCATCGTCACCCGTTACATCAGGATCGTCGTTCACCGCCAAGGAGTTCCATGTGAAGTATCAGGGTCGGGTGCGGGTGACCACGCTGCAGGTGAGCGAAGCGGTCAACGCGGTCAAGAAACTCGCCCCGGAGCTGACGGCAACACACTCGCCTGCCTCATCAACAGAGGATCTCTTGAATGTCTCGCCCTCAACATCTTTATCATCTCTGGCATCACCGACCACCACGCTACCCCGGGCCTCCTCACCGTCTAGCCCGGCCATGCCCAAGTCTCCCCGCTCGGCCAAGTCTCCCAAATCACTCAACAAATCCTGCTGCCTGAGCATCTCCAAGCAGTGCGTCTGCATCGACGATGAGGAGCGGCTTGTAAACGAAACCATCCCCATAGCCACGGTAGCCTACTGCGCTACGGACCTGCGCTACCCTCGTGCCGTGTCCCTCATCTGTAAGACCCACAGTAGCGTCTTGATGTGCCACGTCTTCATCTGCACTTCCCGGGAAAAGTCTGAGAAGATCGTAGCCTTCATCGGCAAGGCCTTCGAGTCGGCCTGGCAGGACTTTAAAAGCGTGCACGACCCGGCCACTCATGGGGGACTCGGACAAAATCTCACCAACAATAACTACGAGTATTTTATCCGTGGGCGGTCGAGATCCCAAGACATCACCGGAACAGGACGGGGTGGCAGCCCCGGTAATACCACTCCGGACAGGCACTCAGCTTACGAGATCAGGAACGATGATTTCTCCTCCAGCCCCGATGATGATTAGTACATAGCACCACATTAAAAACCAACAAAGAAATGGAGGTAAGCCTATAAAAGCAGAGGGTCGGGGTTCGAATCTTGCCGCTAGCCATTATATTGTGTCCTTGGGTAAGCCACTTTACCCCACTTAACAAAATACCGACATTACCAGGGGAGTAACCTGCGATGGGCTGGCATCCCATCCGGGGAGGGTGTGGAAATATTGTCCGTCGTTTCATGCCGCGGAAACCGAACATAAACGCCGGTCTCATGTGCCAAATTCATTGGTTCGGAACTAAAGGTCACATGTCACTATCACAAGTCCATCACAAGTCATCCAGTTGCAAGTTAAGTCACAAGCTATTCAAATGATCTGTGACGTGACACAGGTATTCATTTGTCATTGTCCATCCTGTGTCACTTTGTGACTTGACTTGTGTATTGACTTGGTGATTTGATTTTCACTTGTATTCTGGACCATCAATCCTCATATTGATCAAAATCTTTGAGAACAAAGTTCTTTTTAATCTTTTTTTGTAAGACAGCACCGATATTTTGTAGTTTTTTTTAGCTTAAGTCTAAATTTGAAAGGAAATTTAATCCTCATCTCAAAAAAATTATTACTGGGAAATTAGACGGCGTCCCTATTTTCAATCGTTAGTAAAATATATAGTTATACCAAGGATGTGTACATACGCATGCCGATGGTGAAACAGGTTGCACAAATTTCTCAGCAGCTACTTCAAAAACGTTAGTCAATATTAAAAGGTTAACCTTTTTAGCCACGCCCACACAAGTCGTCGCAGGTTTTTGTTTTGTTTTAGCGAGTGACTTTCAGCAAGCTCATTCAAAATTCCATTCGAGTACTCATGAAGTGCAAAAGCAGATAGTGGAAGCGTTTATCGAGCAGTTGAGCGTGTACATACACGATGTTTGAGTTAAAGGATGGTATGTTTCACGTCCGATCACGTTAAGGATCTCTAACTTAATTTGACGCCCGGAAGACGGTTTTGTTAGCTGAACTTGCGTCCATCTGCTGCCATGGAAACCGGCGGGGAGAATCCATATTTCGTCTCAGCGTTCCGAAGCTTGATTCCATTAAGCGTTTTCAAAATTGAATTTATTCTCCGATTCTTGTTTGAACAGAGAATTGGATATTATTACAAATTGAAATCGAAATCGTGAGGGAACTGATTGACAGAGAATGCGTGTCCTTGCAAATAATATTGAGTTCGATTGTAAAAATACGGAAGGTCAGAGGTTATCTCATTCTTGTTTATACAAGCTACATTGATTTCACCATACTTGTTATACAATCGAAGCTTTTATGATCCAACTTTGATAACAAAAAGGACATCTCAAACGTCATAGGAAGTTATTACGAAACAGGGCGATCGAGACAGGTGATTTCTTTGTGTACTGTCAAAATTAATAAACGCGCGTATGAGAACACCTGTAATACATACATGTAATTGTATACTCTTTCACAAAAACAAAACGGTTTGTTAAATTTGTTGAACCGCAAAGCACTTTTTTGAAGGGGGGGGGGGGATTGGAGGGGGTAGATAGCTTTTTCGCGGGGAGTGTATAATATTTAATTGCTTTGCGAATTAATTTCTGTTCAGAGAGTTAAGCAGACGTGTACAAGTAGTGATTAGATTATGTGGAACACCAGACTTCATTTTTATGACATAGATCCATGCCTGCATTTATAAAAAAATATTTACATAATTTCTCATTTCAAACGTACTTGTGTACCACAAATTAGAAGTGTATTGACAGAAAAATGCCCATTTTATATCCTCGGAATTGAGACTGTTCTATTTCTTCAATTTTTTTTTGCGTTTTAAATTGAAGCACCTTCTTCACTGCAAGTCGTAAACATGAAACAGCCGTTTTAAAATAATACCCTTTAAGAATGAGAAATATGCACGCGGAATAAAGGAATCCCAACCAAGTGCACAACACATTATTTTATCCAATCTAAATTGAATAAATAAATGTCGAATGTGCCATCCATCTAGTATAAATTAACCTTTTTTTTTTTACTCTGGACACGAAATCAAATGGGAAATCGATCCCTTGACATTTTTAGCACACATTTTCATACACGTGTTTCAATGGACCGCTACAGCATACCGGTTCAAGTGTTTTGGCCTTTGCCAAAGTGCTGTCAATAACTGGAAAGGGGTTTAAGTTTACGTTATGTCTCTGGGAATTGTAAATATTATCCTCCCTTAAGTACATCTCCTGTCGGGAACGATATATATGCGCTCCTGAAAAGTGCAATTGACCGTGATGTGTTGTGCATTAGAGCAACATTTTTTTTTACCGTGATTTTTTTTTACTTCGAGGGTTATGTGTTGTTGGACTGCTCCAACAGTGTCTCAGATGGTACTCTTTATTCTTTGGAATTTTGCAATTTTGAAAAAAAATACTGGACTTACAAACATGAATTATCTTATTTGCCACGAAGGATTAGAGGTGTAGGCCCCAGACTAAACATTTGAAGTGGTTTTTATAACTCTTGAGAAGTTGAGATCAACATTTTCAAAAAGTAGCCGACGTGTTGTTGCTTATGAACGAGACAAGAATTTCCTCAAGTTTACAGGGTGAGTAAAAAAAGGAAAACAAAATAACAGGACCATTTTTCAAATGAGTTTAATAAAAGGTTTTCATATCCTAGATTTTGATAGTGCCACATGCGGAACTTTATTAATAAAATTGAGCTGTCATTTTGGGTTTCTTTTTTTTTGCTCACCCTGTATGTGTTTAAAACGACACGACGGCACAAGGTGGTGAATATAGAAAACCATGCATAACAGCGAACGAGTGATATATTTCGAGAAAAAAACAATTTCTTTCCCATCATCGTCCCCTGTCGTGAACATAAATATACGTCCTTGACAGGCAGAATATATTTATGCTATTAAATTAGCAAAGTAAATGTATACGTAGGTTTTGAATAGCATTGGATAACTTAGTATTTATATGACGGGCGTCTGCAATATAATGTACATAGTATTATGCTTGCCGCCTACGTGTGTAAAACTTAAAGGTGTTGGTGATTTCTGCTGGCATTTTGTTTGCGGTCGACCCACATACCTACCTGCACAAATCAATTCTTAACTCATTACTTATAAAGGAATATTTGTGTGTCGTATTCAAATTTGTTTCCTACGTAGAGGCAGCCTGAGAGGCTACAATTGTCTGCGCCGTTTACTCGAATCAACTTTCATGCATGCATGGTATATCCTTCCTCCATGCGTGGTTATTGTGATTAAACAAATTGGGGATATGCCATCGTGCATAATGAATGCTTGATGCGTGTACTTTTTATGAGTAAAAGGGTTCGAGATGTTTTATTATTATGAGTTTGCATAAAATAGGGAGAAAATTAATTTCCAGGGAGTACGGTTACAAATCATGGGTGGATATTTTTTGTTTACAATTACGTTGAGTGTACAGTGTGCATGCACGGTGAACAAAGACTATTGCTTTTAAGATTATCAAACTGCGTTGTAACGTCAGAGGGGATATTTGTGACAAAAACAGCCCGGACGGAAACAATCGGCTCGCTGACATCCGTGATACGAGCGTAAGACAGCAATTTACTACATGCATCGATAACAATTACTTAGGAGATGGAGAAGCCACATTAATTGCTGTAACGTTTCACTGACATTTGCAAACACCTGAAAAAATTTTAATTAAGAACAACACACCGGTGACTTCAATGCACGAAGATATACTGTCCACGTAGACGCGACTAATGACCCACGAAAACACACCATTAAATCTCGTAAAGACTAGCTAAGATATCATTTGATCCGATAACGAAAACAAGATAAGACATCGATCGGATGAATCGTGTTTCAGCAAATAACGGATTATGTCATTGCGTCACTAGATAATCGCGTTGAAAATGCTGCATACCTTTATACGGTACACAGCTTGTGTGGATTATAATTAAACAGTTATGTGGCTTGACATGTACCTTGTCTCTTTTTTTTTTTTTAGTGTAGCATCATTCGCAATCGAATTTGTAGGCGTATGTTCCGTTTTACTTTTGGTATAGAGAAACTTTCACTTTGTTTTGAAATACGCCGGATATCTTTTCACGGCGAAAACGAGTTGCACGGAATATTGTCTAAAGCTTTTGAAAGGCCGGCTGAAATGCCGACCATTCCAGGGGCGTGTCATTTAGTTGCTACCAATTAAGTGGGAGGAATGCAAACATGTTGTTTGAAACAAATTAAACTTGGACTAAAAATAGACGCTTGGTACCGGGTGTTGGATATGAGCGAAGCGAACTGAAATGATGCAAACAATCATAGGCATATTTTGGGGCATGGTTTGTTTCTGTAGGGGTTCAAATTAAGCAACGCGAACTTCTTCCACATGTGCGCCCAAACGAACACGTAGGCCTATAACTTATTTTCCAAATGATTGCATGAGACCATTATATTCAAGGTTGAACTCGCCATTGTGTGACACGTATTTCTTCTATTAAAATTACATGTACTTCACTATTCAACTGTGCGCTTGTTTCGTTTCTATTTAAAAAATACAATCTCTTTGTGTGCGCCTCAGCTCCATATGCACGTCAATATGCAAACCTCCCGATGCAACCCATCCCGTGTTTTCCATTTTGTTTCTGTTCCATTCACATTGTGCGGTCACTGTGAAGACAAGCCTTTTATCCTTCAACTTGTCAATGTCTTTTCAGTTTGTATATCGCAACCCGGAACACTTATAGCAAAAAAACAACTCAAAAGCCACATGCCGAGTTAGTGCTTCACATGACGCTACGATTTTTATACTACACACATCTCTGTGGGTAACAGAATAGCAATTGAAATACACATTTCTTTGTCAGCAGTTTAGGTTGAGATTATAAATTTTATGTCATATTTCCTTGTACGTTTGTCTCGTTTATGATATGAAAACTGGGTAGGGGACACCTGGATATATGTATTCCACGTTCATATTAACCTCTGTGAAAAAAACAATCAATTATGAAACTTCTTCCAACTAGTGCGGCAGATAGGTGATGAGATTGTGCCTCATGATACAAGCATGGTATTTGGCACACAGTCAGAGTATGTCATGAGAAAGATATTCGGCTGTAGGGCCATCGCAGATTTGTCCTTTGAAAATATATAGGGTAAAATAACAAGCAATGGCAGCCATTGTGAATATTTTGAAAATTGCTGGTTATTCTACCTAAATATTTTTTTCAATCTGCGATGGCCCTATAGCCAAAAATCTTTCTTAAGATATACTTGCATGTTTGTATCATCAAAGGCACACAAATCCCCCAAATGTGTCCCCTATCTGCCCACTAAAGTAATGCAACAATATACCAAACCCATCCTTACGTGTGGGCCCCTTATGATCCAGCTTTTGAATTCGTACTCTTCTGTTTGTTTGTTTACAATCGCCTATTCAAATTCTCAACGTGGTATATTCTACCGGAAAGGTCAAAAGTTTGTAAACACATCCATTTATATTTTCGGCCGCCGCAGACAGAAGTTTAGACATTAAAAGTTCCGGCTCGGCAACAATACCCCGGAACAAGGCTGCAATTAACCAACCCACAAGCAAACATTTTTTAAGAGCTACCATACACCGGTGCCAAGTATTTGTTCCCCGTGCAATCCAAACAAAGAAAAGGAAAACCGAAACCACGGACGATAATGAACTGTATCGAAAACTTGGGCGATACAACAGTTCGGCCTAAAACAACTTCTGCTGGTAGTTACCACGTGTGCAAAGCTTATATTATTATCAATTAAATTTGTAGACAAACGTATTTGAACGACACCAGGTGTTTCACCAAAATGGCTGATAGCTCAAATCCTTTTCCGGAGACTTTGGTCCGGATTTTGAAATATTGGCCTTACAAGTGTATTCACTGAATACTATCTACAGAAAACCGGGGGAATATCTCAATTACATGTTAATCTCAATTTACTGTTAATACCGCCTCTTCGTTTTGGCGGGAAACCAAAGTTCAGGCATGGAGAGTTGAGATGTAGCAATGATGTACCAAACAACTTCTGCCTGAACAGCCTATATATACACTTATTACACAGTAATATAATTTGTTATTTATAGAGTGATGCAGTTATAATTGAAATAACAATGAAATACAAGCAACTTCTGCTTGAGCAGCCTACATAGACCAAAACGCAATAATATTATATTTAATTCAGTAACCTTTCTTTATGCTTGACGAGTTGCATAAACAAAGTTTTTTTTCCTCCGAAGGTCAGGGTTTTTGCTGATTAGTAAAACCATAGAGCAAGGATCACAGAACTCACTGAACGAAATAGACCCCATAGGAACTCCTTGAAAAGAGTCCCCAGCAGGCGATCAGAACCAGTCGCACGTAGACCTATTAATCCCTTTGTTGTATAGCTTTGTCCGAGTTCGGCTCGACCGTAAACGTTTGTTGGCCCATTGAACGACAAAAGTTACCTTTATACAAACAGACCGCCATTTTGGTCTCGCCAAGAGGGGTTTTATCATAATGATTTACATTTATATTGCGCAAATTTCATAACAATGTGATCAAATGCGAATCACAGTATCCCTGTTCACCAGGAATGAGACCCTGCAGCAGCTCGAGATCCGCGCAATATGGTCTGTACCTTCATTTAGGTACCCATCTATACTCCTGGGTGGAGAGAGGCAAACGTGGTAAAGTGCCTTGCCCAAGCGCACAAGCACCATTTTCCATGTCAGGGTTCGAACCCATGTACCACGGCACACGAGTCGAACACCGTAACCATTGGACCACAGCACCCCATGATCTTCGGAACCAACTATCATCTTCCATGAGTGGGTGTCTTCAGGCAAAGGATATCTTGACTTACCATTTCCATTGAACTATAGCAACGACGCAACCATATGGGAGTGATAGTTAGGGTATACCCATGAGATTTAGTTTCGCTGCTTTATCCTTAAAAACCACTGCAGCTGTATAAGTGCGACTATACTAATCTTTTGAGGACTGCACTCTATGGAAGGAAGGAAGTGAGCTTATTGACTCCACATGCATTCTAACACACGACCACAAACTTGAAAATCGATGTTGCACGAGCGTTGCCCCAACAACAAAAAATCGTGTTTAAAACTTGCACTTTCCATTTGCCAGCACTTTGAACATTTGGGGCAATTTTCTCCAAAACTAAGCTCAAATTTGAGTTCAATTTCAAACTCACGTTCTACTTGATAATAGTGAATATCAAGATATGAACATCGATGTGCAATTCGAAAAAATAATCGATGTTTCACAATCCCATATATCTATTATCGTGTAAATGTGAGATATTTGGCAGAGTTGAGCCAACCACAAGCTATTTCACAAGTCTAATCCCAAATCATTGGTCATTGTGTTGCCAGAATAGGTAACAATAGTCTATAGGGTTTGCATATGGTATAGGGAGATGGGGGGGGGGGTACCCCTCTGTCGCATATCGTGCTGGGTATACTCAAATCGGGCACTTGAATATATATCTCTGGTGTTTTGGTCTTATAAAACCGGCGCAACAACTTGAACTGTTTTGTATTTAATCATCAACGAATCGGTGTGTTTATGAGCCTATGTACAATACATACATGTACATTGAAACTATGAATCAATGAAAAACACATTATGCATACCGGTACAAATGTCTGCAGGAGAGAATTTATCAACAAATGAAAACAAGTTATAAATTTGGATTGTCGCCAGAGATTTATCCCGTATCTCAGAAATAAATGAGATGTTTAGAGAACGTATTACAGAAGACAGGAGAGTTAATATTAAAGCATCATCCACTATAAATTGCGCGACGGCTTAACTTCTGTAACACGCGAGTGATCTCGCCGCGCCGTGGATGAATATTAATGGCGGCATAAATCTTCGTGGGGTAATTTCGTCATTATATATACTGGACATCAAAATGGATGACAAAGATTAAAGTCCAGTTTCAAAGAGAAACGACTGAACTTGGGATTGATACATTTCTGAAAAACAGATTCAAAGGAGTGTGGTGTATAAATTGCTACGACGAGGAATTGGAGATTTCGTAGAGTTGATTTTTAAAAGTCCCAAAGACTTAATATCTAAATGGTAAAGTATTTTGATATTAGTGTGTGTCTGTATAAAAATCTTAACTTTTAATTAAATACATGTACTTCATATCTACATTACGAACGTGCACTTGTAAAGAGAGAATAAAGACAGAGTAAATAAATGTAGCATAGAGTTGCATAATATTGCACGAGTATAATATCCCAAATCGTGCCGTTCTATGATTGTTGTTTTACCGCTGTGCGGTTCACATTCCCTCCCCCCGGAAAAAAATCATCGGATCCAAGACGAGACATTCCAGCAGTTAACATCGCAAAGCAAACAAATCTCTCAATCTGTTTTTCTTTTCCATTTTTTGATATTCTTCCAGATTATTCTCCCTCTTCGGTTCTCTCCGATGTTTGACGCAACATGCGCCGTTCCCCCGGCTCCGACCGAGACGTCTATCAGTCAACACGGGGGACGATGACGGCCGACGCGCCCGCAGCTACGCGCTCCTCGCGGGACCAAGCCCAATCTGTCAAGTGCTGTGCTGGAGAGATATATGGAGCAAAGTGACATGTTTCACTGAGCCGGCCAGGGCAAGTCGTGAAAGAGCAAAATGGTCGCTCAGCCTTTTCTTGGAGATCCCAGCTTTTGGCTGAACTTTTGAGAATCTTGTGACTAGTGAGGCATCAAGGATAATACAAGTTAAAGCCGTTTTAAAATTCCATGACTAAAAGTCAGTATTTCATTTAGGGGTGATATATTTACACAAAATAAATTGAAGGGACCAACGGACCGTGCTGTAAATCTTGCATCAATTTTATTAATGTGCGATTCCTGTTTAGCGCATCCGTCTTTAACTTATTTTTCATTTATATTTTAGAAGAGTAAGGCCTGAAGCTTAAGGGAAAATTGTTTCTTTTCAATGGAAATGCTTTAGCAGACAACACAATTCGGTTAAACATATTGAAAACCATCAGAGAAACATAATTATTATAAGATGGAATTTTGCATAATTAGACACGAAGTATGCAGCGAAGAGCCTGGTGCCTTGCCCAAGCTTCTTGAGTATGACGTCAACAGTGCGTGTCATCTGGCTCTACTTCAAAATTCGATAAATCAGTGAGGCTGGGTACTAGGTAACCTCGATTTCCAATCAGTAATCAGACAGAAAACACTTTACTGCTGTGATTTTCGCAAGATGTTTTAAAATGAGGCTTGAGCAATATGTAGAAATCCAAATCTATCTTCCCTTTACCATCCTGAAAATGCATATCTGTTTATATCATATCGAGCCTTAGGTAATCAAGTTGCATCCTCAAAATTGCCAGTAGAAGAATCAGTTATCACCCTTAATTATCTTCACTTTGTCAGCCTGGAGCCATATTAATGGCGCAACATTGTCTCAGAAACACATCATTCCTAAAATTAATGATGACAGTTTGTCGTCAGGGTGATGCCACTGTCATTCGGATTCACACAATAATTGTTTGTTTATGGTGGGCCCCTTTGGTGTCTGCACGCTCTGCTCTGTGTTCATATTTTCTAGGGCACGACACATCGTTGTTTTTGTTTGCTCTGTCCAAATTTGGTGACTAATCCTGATGAATGATGACGATATCAGTCGCTCAGATCACGACGTATTCTCGGTGAAGGAATTTTCCGTTCCGTCAGAGACCCCGGAAAATTGTCTGCGATAAAAAAGCAAGGCCACGGCAGCAAAGATGTCGCGTGACCAACATTCGCAGGTGACTTTTTCCTTTGTAAACCGATTTTGCTGGGCGAGATTTTCGGCTCAGCTGGTCCATTACATTAGGCGTTTGTCACATAAAAGTGACAAAACAGACTCTATGCCAGCATTGAGAATATAAAATTAGTATCCACGGCAACAGAATCAATCAGTATGATGAGACAACCTCGTCCCCATGGCGTTGACCAGTTGGCAGCTACTGCGGACAAATAGAATTGAAGTATAACTGGGTACGAGTACGAGGTTGTCATGTGACGTCATGTGATCATGAAAGTGGAAAATTGCAGTAAAATAAAAATCACTTGTGTGTATAGGTTTATGAAATCAAGTGAATCTTACAAACGAGTGACCTGTTACTTAAAAACTGTCCTCCTCTGTGTTTTTGTGTGTGGAAAGATACTTATTTAATATTCTTTCTTCAGTATAATTTTTGATTGGAAAGTTACCTAACCACCTTTCTGAGTCCTTGTGCACTGAGGAAGGTGGTGTGATTACGCGAGTAACAAGCATTTCCGGCTACAGGGTTTTCCATTAAGTGCCAGTCATAGTTTTGAAGACCGATTTTTTTTTTTGGAAAAATATTTTATCACAATGTCAACCATTTGGATATGATCCTTACCGACATATTGTGAAAAATTGCAAGGAAATGCACCATGAACTGTAATCTTACTTTATGACATTCTCAGAATGACATACATGTACTTCTAAAAAAAGGGAAGGGTTTTCTCGTATGCAAGGGACTTTAAACATAATTTTCTCAAAGGACATTTTGGAAGAATAGACATACCTATAAACAAGTGAGGTGTTTTTGTTCTTCAAAATGCTTTTATTGTTATCCATAAAAGTAGTATCTGGTCTCGCTTTCAAGTTGGACTTCATCTTGTCATAATTTGTTTCTACTCCACAGTTGTTCAATTTTAAACATTGTAACTTTAAGTTTACTCAGTAAAATAAGTTATTGTTTTTAGTTTGAAGCATGTAAAACTTGCCTCGGCATTATTAAGTTGTGTGTAAATATCTGTACATTTTAAGGCAACGTCAGCCCCTCATTTATAGGACCGCAACTCCTGTGTATATATCGAATGTAAACATTGACTATTTTTGTATTTTTTTCTGGTTTTGCTTTAACTTATTAATGCATTAGGGTGCTTGTACTTTTTTTACGAAGACTTAACACGCTGTGTATAAATAGATTATACCTAGATATTAAAAGAGTCGAAGAAACAAACACATTCGACCTTCTGTCTGTGGGGATTCCGTCACAAAATGTCAATTAATTACGACTGGTTGTTCCATCGGAAATTAACTAGTCTTGTATTTGGCGTGCTGCGGTCAGTAAGGGAGTGCTTGTTTTTAGACCGATGGTTGATAATATCCGAGCAACCGTGAAACAAAATATACTACCTCGCGGGTCCGCGGATGAATCCAAACAGTTGTTTTTACGAAAGTCAATCATGACTGTGGTCGACTTTGATAGAAATACATGACGCGGACTCGTAAATCAACCCATTGGCGATGGCTTTCAGTGATAGATCACAAGGGGCCAATTTTTCAGATGTACAATAATCAGAATGCATTGATCTCTTCTGAACATGAGGCAGACAGCTCAGAGACGAACATAAACAAGTCTTTTTATGTGCTCGTAAAATTCATATTTCTGGCGCCTGTACGAAATATCCCCTAGACTCGAAATCAAGTCGGTAAGTTTAGTTGGTCCACTGCGCACACCGGCGTGGACAGATCTGAATACCCGTTCCAAGGTATATAGACCTTACTACGCTTGGTTGGCAAACTGCACTTTTGCCAACCACGGGTTGCAAAACTATGGAAGGTCCAACACTGCAAAAATGAAGAAGAGTTATTACAGATAACCAAAATCTTATTTGATTCTTGGAAATACAACATTTTCAACAAAGCTAAAACATAATTCCTAAACTTGCCTTTTTACTATGTATTGAGGGCGTTATGAGGACGTTTTTCTGGAAAAAAAAATGCCAACCACGGCTTCAATTTATGTACTTACGGCAGCCCATATAAAATGGCGCCAATGTTTACAAACAAAAGAAAGGTCTATACAGCGGGCGGTATGGCACTAACTTGCGGGGACGCTCTGTGCATCCTCGGCCCCAATATGCGTATAGGTAGATGTCGAGGCCAGCAAATGATAATCACGATATATAGCGCCCTGCTAGTAAATATCTGGGCGCCGACAGACAAAACACGACTGTCTAGCGACTTGTCCTCAAGTCTAAATATCCCCGAGATGGTTCAGTGTTACTGTTAAAGAGATGTTTACACTGATGAAAGAAAGTGTAATTATTTGTTCATTTTGGGGCTTCTCGTTTTTACATGCTCAAAAATCGAAAAAGAGCCCTGAAATGTGGGGTTTTATGTGCTGATTTTAATGGCACATCTTATTTTGTATAGTTTCCTAATACATGTAATACATTCCCAATTTTTACTCAGACTTTTAAAATCCTGATTTTTTTATGCATTTAATATACGCATTCTTTCTCTCATCATGCTGGATTGTTTATGCATGGCATAAGGGTAATGGACCGATCCAGTAAGCACCGCCCCATGGTGTTCTGACCAATCAAAGCCGGGATTTATGTCCGACGTGCGTGCACACTGAAGTCCGACATGCGTGCACGCGCGTATGATGCGCGCGGCGCGGAAGGAAATGCAGCGTGGCATTGGAGAGGAGCACGTGTTAATTTGCCCAGTGCGCAGTGGGAGGGGCTTACTGGATCGGTCCATTGAATGAACCGGAAGCCCCAGCCCTTGGCCACGCCCCCTTTTTCTAACAGTGCGCTTGAATGCTGTTACATTATTTAATCATAATGAGTATGTTATACATTAATGCGACAGAGTCATTGAATTTTTTATTATTCGGATTTCTGGATGCCAGGGTTTTGTTTTGTAACCGTGTTTTTAATCCGTGCTTGCTTTGAAATAAAATGCATTGGAATTTACCCTGTTGTAAAGCTATTCTAGTTTTGTTTAAACCGTGATTCTTTTCTGATGGGTGCTGACTCAGTTTAATTACAGCTTCTACGCGTGTATAAACGAAAACAAAAGGGACAGTTCATCATTACAATGCACTTAAATTGAATAAAACATAAGTTAACGAATATGCAGTCAATGACAATCGTCAATAGTTGCCTTATAACACCCTGCCACACGGCATATGTTGAATTCATCCCATCTCTATTTATTTGTTTATAGACAAGGTCTTCGTTGACTTGTTGCATAACTTGCGAATTTTCGTTTTACTTTACGTCCATAAAATCTGTGCGTAATAAATGTGGAAAGACGTCACAATCGTCCTTCTGCGTCATGCATAATAGGGAGTAAATTCCGACGGTGCGGCTACAACTATAGAGGCCATAACTAAATTTATGTTTTTTGGACATAACTGTTTCGGCAACTTGTTGTTGTATTTTTTATGCAGTTATACATGTTGACTGATGAGACATAATTATATCAGTAGGAAGCTGCATAGTGATAGTGCCAATAAAAATGCACATTCGATGTAGCATCACAACACACCCCTACCTAGGTACATATCAAGATAAAACCAAAACGGACCTATAGCTCTGTAGATATAGGCCATTGAAAAGGCACTTTTAATATGACGTCACGTGACACGTTATGACGTCATGATGATGTCACTTCAATTTTCATATAACACATCCCAGTCTAGGTACATACCGCACTTTTGACCAAATGTAACATTGAAAAATTGCCGGGGATAATTTTACCCATGCAAGCAAGTGTGAAAACTGCAGCTCCCCAAAATTGGGTGGTGCTTTACCCAATTGTTTGGGTAAGAATTTCTGTTAAATTAAACCAAGACTAGTGGTCATACAAGACCAAATTAAATTTAGTCTGGTATGACCACGAGTTTTGATTGAATTTAAAATCAGTTGGTTAGTTAGTAACAAACGTCAGCAACAGCCTTGCATGGCTCTAAATCACCTTGTCCCAATAGGCCCTGCAAATGGGTATTTATCAATCAAAA